TTCTTTTCGTACGATTCACTTAGCTTTGAAGATTTTGAATATTTCTTTATTAATATAAGACTATCGAAGTATCAAGTTGAACTCAAGATTACTTTAAACTTTGGTGTTTATATTTTTCAGGAGCAGAGCCATCCATATTCCAGTGGTCAAGTCAACCAAAACAAGCTCAAGGCAGGCGAGTGCTTACCAGGGAAATGTTAGCTGAAGTCAAAGAGAATTTAATCGTTAAACCTCAAGAGGATGAATGTATGAAGAAATCTATGGAGGCTGTGAATATTCCAGAAAACTGTGTCAATTTTGCAAGGAGCAGTGATGACACTGAAGCTGTGCTACAGTGTGAGAATGACAGGTCTGACAGCAGTGGTGATTCAAATTTGAAACAGGTAACCTTTAAAATACCAAGCTTATGAAAATTACTTTGATGAGTTTAAAATAATAAATAAAAGCCAAATGAACAATGAACAATATTCATGCAATATTATGATTTAAATTCCTGGTTAATGTTGTGAATCATTTTATTGTGATGGGTGTGGCTTTCGTAAACTAAGCTTATATATTATTGCATATTTATAGTGAGTTTCAAAAAATTGTAACACAAATTTTAGCTATTAGCTTGTTAGAGTGAATGTCAAGAGATAGACAAAAAAAGAGCATGATTGAAGGTGTAATAGTTTTTAACAAGCTAACATTTATTTAGGTTTATGAAAACCACTCTGTTGGTCACAAGCAACATCTAATGATAATAGTATTTATTGTTTCATTGGTTTTTGCTATTATTTTATTGTATTACAAGTATTTTGTATACTTAAGTGTTGTTTAAAATTTCTGTTTTTGTTTGCACTTAGGTCACAGAGAAGTCTACGCAAATTGACGATGTGTACATATCCCCCCAACTGACATACATTGAGTGTGAACATGATTATGCTTTTTCATTTACTGATACACCAAAGAATCCATCTGAATACCAGCAGAGTATGGAGGAAAGATTAGAAGTTATGACTGAAATGTTAAACAACCTTAAAGTTAAAGTGGGAATTCTTCAAAAAGAATTAGATGAGTATAAAGAAAGAGAATTTGATCTCGTACGTTATTTCGTGGTCACTTTTGGTGTTCGAAATCAACGATATCAATGGCTGTTCTTGTTTTGAAACGTTGTCAGGCTCGACGCAGACCACTTTTCTTTGATAAATAGCTTGACATCTTAGGGTAAGATCAGCCTTCTTGCCGCCACATGGCTGGTTTTCTCCTTTCAATAATTCTCTCAAATCTTTCACTGTAAGCTTTTGAAAGTCCTCTATCTTCTGAATTGTGTCCATCAGGCAGCCTTCGTCACATTTTTTGACCTAAATATTTACTACAAAGAGCTCTTATAAGTTAAAAAAATCAAGATTTTTACACGCTCACACTTGGTTTGTTTGTACACTACAATGATATGATACAGGGTTAGCCTCGTTTTCACGCTTGACAGTATCTGCAAACAATCGAACAGCGGTTATCAGCACAGAACGCGAAACTGGAGTATTATTCAAAAAATCACCTTAATTCATATTTTGCAACGCCTCTTGACCTTGCTTGACTGTGATTGCATGAACTGCTTCCAATGAAGCAGTCGCCAAAGATTTATAGCGTATGTAGAATCTTATATAGATAATTTTTTTTATATAATCTTAGCGCTATTTGAAAGCGAAGTAGCAATTAGAAATTCTCAACTGTGTTCTTAGACGCAACAATTTTAATTCCCCTGCAAGGTGGAAAGGAGTGAATCTGTGATGGAGCAAAACTTCCAGACATCCTGGCAAAATAGTTGCAAAAGTATTCAATTTTGAATTTCTGAAATAATTTTGATATGGCAAAATCTTCAAACTTCTTCGCAAAAGACGAAAGTATTTCCAATTGGGCCTCAGACTGACCAAAAGGAAGGTGCATAGAACGTTTCTGAAAAGAAAAAGGAAAAGAAATAGAAAGCGGCTGCAATTTAGTTTTGTTGATGAATGTTTTGTTAATCATTATGATCTTAACACGATGATGATATCGTCATGATTATTTGGAAGAAAAAGAGTCATTTACTTCCAAACTGGTCCCCAGGACATTTTTCATATACTTGT